TGCAGTATTTACACTGCGCACAGCAAATGCAAACAGGCAACGTTCATCATTTCAGGTCGTGTCGACGGCAAGATTTAAAGATATGTCATGGAGGGGTCAAATACATGTATATTGTTATATCGTTTCCTTTACTATGGCACAATTTACCTCAATATTGACATCGTTAACAACAAAATTAACCACGCGCGTGTGTTTGTGTGTGCGCATGTGCCCATGTGATGAAATCATGATAAATATGATAAGGATCTTACGTTTTACGTATAAACTGAAATTTTTTAAAGCATAAATATGCAAGTATTTTGTGCTATAAAAAATTGGAGACGTTGGAACTTTATCATCACCTGTGAAAAGACCGCAGCTTTTTCACACACTTTTTACATTGGAAGCTCAAAAAAGAGGGTAAAACCTTATAACTATGAACCATTTTTCATATATTCTGCCAGACATGTGCAATGTATTTCACGTTATTTCCTTTAAGATTATTTCCCTTCTACTGAAAACAGGTTATCTTTATCGAGTATAAATACACGCGCGTCAACATTTCTATGAGACGTGTCTGGATTCAAAAGACAAACACAGCCGCAGACCAATATGACTTTGTGCCTAAGTTTGACGACAATATCACTTCTTATTTCGTGTATCATTCAGCCCGGCAGAGGCGCGGTGTACTGCCCGCCCTATTCGAACCACTTTGAGTGGGTTGGTCAATATTGTTTGCGTTTTGAGAACTTCTATAAGAAATCGTGGTACGATGCAAAACGTGAATGTGAGGCCAAGGGAACACATTTGCTGGTGTTGGAAACCACAAGATAACGGGACAAAGTCATACGATACTCAGAAAAGAAAAGAAGTAAGTATAACCGTCTTCGTAATGAAAACATTAGTAATTTACAGTGTTAATTATAATTTCCATAAGTGCAGTTTTATAAAGGTCAATTTTAAATGCAATTTCTGTATATGCAATTTTACAAAAGAGAATTAGGGTAAATTTGTTTTTTGTTTTTCCTCAACATTCAGGCCTGTTGTAGCTTTAAAAAATTCAACATAGTGATTCCACTGCAATTGCACATTTTTTTGAATTGCGTACGATTTGATCGCAATTGCAAATGGTTATATTGCAATCTGAAAAAACATTTTTGAAACCTTTTCAGAAAATTTCAGAAAATGTTTTGGAGCAATTTGCTAAAATATACCAAAAACAGAAGCTCAAACTTGACAAACAACATTTTTTCAATATGCAACTCAACTTCATTTTGCAACTCAAATCCAGATATTTGAATATTCCACACGCACATTTCAGACTGGGAGTATTTCTGGGTAGATGGAACCAAAGTGAACGGCAAATGGATCTGGAGCTCAACAGGAAAGCCACTTTCGACTGCTCTGTGGATGCCAGAGGAACCGAATGGCGAAGGCAGTTGCATGCAATACTATAGCGATTTTAATGATAGGCAGAAAGGCCCAAAAGGTCTGAATGACCGAAGTTGTTCTATGGCGTACGAATTCATATGTGAAGACGATTCGGGTAAGTTATAATTAAGAAATATCTAATTGCAATAAGAACAACATTACTGCAGTGAAATGTTTAACATTGAATCTACAGGTATAGAAAAAAAATAATGTAAGATTTAAGTAACGGATATGAAAAAGATGTCAAACACAATGAACACGTACATTTTACTAAATATTTTAATTACAGAAAAAGAAGCAAATCTGCATTTTGAATAAACTGATCCAAATTAAACCACACAAAAATTGAAATGGAAGACGTTTTCAAAAATATATTTAAAATTCTTACACCTTTTTTCTTCAGTCAACAGCATAATATTGCAAAACGTTTTTACCTCCAATATTTCGTTGCCTAGCAGAACATCTTCATCAGGGAATGAGGCTTTCCAGGTAAAAACTTTTCAATATTAAGCTGTTGACTGAAGAAAAATTGCTTCATTCTTAAAACATAACACAGATGATGAAATTCTTCTCTGTCTGTCTGTAATCTAGTTAATGGTGTGTGGGGCGCCTGGGAAGGTTGGAGCAGCTGTTCGGTAACCTGTGGTTCAGGGCAACGCTATCGCACACGTGTCTGTGATAATCCCGCACCAAAGGGAGCAGGTGCCCCCTGCAGTGGCCTTGACCGACAGACTGAACACTGTCACAATGGAACGTGTCCGGGTACGTGACTTATTTATACTGGGGAGGAATAAGCGGGTTTTAGTTCCAAGGACAGTGCTCTAGTGAGCATGACATCTCCCAGACACGTAATTATGGTAGGGTGTTTTCCTTGCAGTCGCCTTATATAATGTTGACATTTATCGAATATATTGTTTTCCTTCCTGTGTTGTTTTGAGCATGGTTTTAAATATTTATATCACCCTGTTTTTCATATAATCGAATCACATTTATATAGGGTTATCTAAAACCGAACACTAACATATTGCCACAGTCTGCAAAGCATTACATTTTGATGAAATTTTCCTCAAACTTCGTAATATCTTAAATGTCTAATATGAATATGAATTGAATATGAAACATAAAAAATCAGCATTGTTGACTTTGGACATTAATGTTGATAACTACAGTTGATGGAACCTGGAGTGTTTGGACACACTGGTCAGTGTGCAGTAAAACCTGTGATCAAGGCAACAGGACAAGGCACAGGGCGTGTAATAGTCCACCTCCAACCAATGGTGGCAAGGACTGTCCTGGCCAATTAGTTGAGGTCGAAACTTGCAAAGGTCAGCCGTGTTCGGGTACGTGTACAGGGTATTCAGATATAGTAAATCACATAAACCAGCCATCCGTATTAATCATACTTATACGTTGATTGTAATTTGGCTCTAAAATTTTATTTATACTTAACTCAAACTACAAACAGGAGTTTTTCATAACCACGGGTATTTCTGCTTGCATGACACACACACACACACACACACACACACACACACATACACACATATATATTTTAACTTGTCATTTTTTATTTATTTCAGCCAAGCTCTGCCCTGCTGGGTTCACTGAGGCCACCGATAGTTTGTGCCTGTACATCTCCGATCCAAAGACAGAGACATACAATTATTTAATGTCTATGAAGGTGTGTGCCTCGCTGTCTCCGCTGTCTCGCCTGATGACAGTAAAGAACACATACGAATACCATAACATGGTCAGGTTCTTGTCTACAGCGGCTGTATACTGGATAGGTAAGTCTCAGCCCAGTAAGTGAGGGATAGATAAGAGTGCCAGCGTATTAACGATTTAACAAAAGCTTGTCATGATAGTCAAATATAATAATAATAATAATAATAATAATAATACATTTTAAACTACCCTATTACAAAATGATATGACTGATCTGTTTCTGGAAATGTTATCCCGTCATCTGTGACATGAAACGACTTTATCTGTGAAATTTACATTTCAAAATAATAATAAACCTTAGTAAAACTGGCAATGTAAAATTATTATCTAATCAGGTGATGACACTACAAGCAGCAGTGATGCCAGTACCAAGCTCGGTGGTGGAAGCTTCGCTCTCTGGGCAGCTGGATATCCGTCCTCGCTATCCCTTGGCAATTGCGTTGACTTAAGCGGAAAGAGTGGAGCGTTTCTGTGGCAAGACGCCCCTTGCTGGGAAAGAAAACCCTTCATTTGCGAACTAAGACCCAAAGATGGAATGGCACCTATTGTTGGTTAAATGGCAAAAGTGTTAGAGTTCATAGCTCATTAAATAGCTCAATTGCTTTGATGAAAATATCTTTGTCCAAGCACACAGCATGGTGGATAGCAAAACAATAAATTTGTTAATTGGAATCATGCAGACGTTGAACTTTTGTTGAAATATTATATTTACTTGCAATATCATTGATTGCAAATGACCGTCTGGCGAGAATATAGCCCTAAGGTAACACATTCCATTTCCGATGTGCTAAGCACAATACGCTGTTTACAGAAACCTCTCGGCTGGATGGAACCTACGGTACAGGGTTGTTATCAGAAACTGGCCGTACTCAGAACAGTGGACTAACTGTTCTGCGGGTCAAATATAGCGACCCACTAAAAACCTTGTTGTCTAATCCTCTGATAGTCACTGAATAGATTCCCCATGGGGACGTTTCCAAGTGGGTCGGCCATATTTGACCCTCGGACTAGTTAGTCCACTGTTCCGAATGAGCTCTTAATGCACACACCCCCTCCTCGGCAAGCTCGGTGGATCATTTATAGTTTAAATTAGGAGACATATCCCACTTTTAGCACCACAAACATTTAGCATCTTATCTGCCTGCATTAATTGTGCAATTAAAAATATCGCCAGACAAATCACACGTAATTAAATTCTCCAATCCCATGTTGGATGTGAGCAAGATTAAATGAATCATTCCCTGTACGTGTGCACGAGCAAAATCCGCCTTGTTTCTATGTAAACACTAGTTTCTTTAGTAAACGGTGTCTTAGAACCATGTCACAAACACAGACACAAACTCCTTTTTTACTTCACTGGTACGTGTGACCCCATCTTCGTCATTTAAATGCTAGGGGACCATTCCCAGACCCTGTGGATCTGTGGATCGATCTATCTCAGAGGGGATTCTCGCTTAATTGCTATCAACTTAAGCGGTTTAAATGTCTGTCACGGGGTAATTAACTATCGTTTAGCAGCTTCAGTAGGCGTGTCAGACATCTAAGCCGCTTAAGCTGAACGCAATTTCATGAGAAACCCATTGGAGATGGATCGATCCCGTTAGATCGATCTAGGCATGGGAACCCAGTCTAGGTCTGTACCTGTTTACCAGGACGTTTGTCTAGTTTTTTGTAAAGTTTTGCGACAGCTGTTATCAAACGTCTGCTAATTGGTCGCTTAGTTTGCTAACATTCCACCGTTGATTCAGATCTTACCTTACACCTACACCAACTACGAACGCCATTAATCCCATGCAGTTAAAAAAAGGCCAATTTATTCAACTGAGTTGTCCTGAAAAAACTTTGCTCCCCTATTTACACTGTAAGTTGTGTATTCATTACACCATTAGATATCACTGCAAACAGCGATACCACAGGTGTTGAAAATATCATGGAAGACAGCAGTAAAAAGGGGATATTCCTCTTCTTGTTAGTAGTTCTCGTTTATTGGGTCCATTTTACGCAAGGGTAAGGTGATTTCACAGTTTTGTTTAGGTACTGACACACGCGTAAACAAACGCACACATACATGCAAATCCACGGATTTTTAGCATTTTGTTTGATAAAGCAAACGTTCAAATGATTTTAAGTGTATGGTTAATTTATTATTTATAGTAATATCTAAAAGTATTTTTTCAGTATACTCTTGAAATATAATCATGTTAATTTCGCTTCCCCCAAAACATTTGCTGCGGAAGATGCGTACATATTTGCAGAAAACGAAAAAAGTTGTAATGAAATGCAATTTAATGTTAACAGCATTTTGCAGTTATTGCGCTGTCTGTTCTCACATTTCATAATTTCTACACAGGGCGTGTTATCCACCAAGGTACGGTATACAGACCCGCAGCACTCGTCAACGGTACACCACGGGCTGCGGCTTCTGGGGCTGGGGACGATGTTCAAGATACCGGTAAGTCGCTGTTCAAAGAAATGTGCAGAAACCTCACGGACGCGATACGCGGTTTAAAATATATATTATGGTACAGTGGAGTTTAGTATAACGAAGGTTTTTAGGCGTTTTGGAACTTACGTACGCTACAAATAAATTCTGCTTTCGTGGAAAACAAAGTTAAGGCAATTCACATGCATATGTTAATGCATATTCTATAAATTTTCAACTTTTCGTTTTTTAACTATATCACTTACTATACCATTTATAAAATAGAGGATACGATGTTTGTTTATAGAGTGATTGCTTTATTGGGTGGTTGATCATCATAATGTGTACATGTAGAGTTATTTAACACAATGTTCATAAGTCTATGATGATTAATATTCACATTTATTCGTGTAAAAATATTGCATGATGCTATCATTTTGACTAAAGAACTGTGCATCGTTTGTTGCGTGAGTGGTGAAGTTCACCTCTAAATATGCGGACGCGTTTCTGTATCACCGAGACATTTAAAAAACGGGTCACTCACAACCTGTTACCATGCACTCAGTTCTGTATCAGAATAAAAGAATCTGGTCATGCCTAACGTAGAATGATGTTTACATATTATTCCGAACGTCCCAAATGAGCTTCAATATTTGTTTTTCAGAGAGATGAGTATACTGATTTTAAAAATGTTGTCTTCAGCTCATTTTTCATTTTTCTCATATATTTATTTATTTATTATCATTTCTCTACTCTTCGTAAATGAGGGTCAACTTGTGTCTGTAATATTCTAATATCATGCCAGAAACTTATACCTTTACGATCCACTAAATATATTTACTCACTCATTTTTCAGATATGTAACAACATATCAATGTGTGTTTTTGGCAGGTACGTACACGTGATTTGATATTGGAGAAACTTTTTATACAGAAAAGTGGAAAGTGTCTGTGTCAGTTCCTATACAAATGATGGTGTTGTATTGGTTCCAGTGACTACCATAGACTCTATATAGTGCAGTGCCGTCCGCATGTTGAGAAATTTTGATGTGCTTTGTAACATCTGAAATAAGAATACATGTATACGCGTCAGTCGTTACGAAAAATAATCATACAATACATATCTTTTCCCAATCATACAATTTTAAAAGTGTGCACGGCAACCTGTTGTGCTTGTTTTAAATGGTCCTTATTGATCTCTTTTTTAAAATTTACGATTTATAAAGACTGGTCATCCTACATCATCTGCGTGGAATGCCCTATAACGAATATGATACATAAATTCTACCAACTGCACGTGTTAATGGGTTCCGCTGATTTGTTGTCGAAATCGGTAGTAGGCCTATGCATTTTAAACGCGCAGTTTAAAGTTTTACTTCAATACACGCATATTGACAAATTTATACCTGCAATTAAAACAAGATACTGGAAAGTACAATGCACCGTGTTTGCTGACTTCTTCGTGATTGACTTCTTCTGGAGACAATCAAATTAATGATACATTTACCTTGCAGTTGACGGAGGCTGGGGTGCCTGGTCACACTGGTCAGCGTGTGGAAGCTTCTGTGGTCAAAGCACCAGACTGAGGCTACGATCATGTAATAACCCGCATAAACAAAATGGCGGCCGTGACTGTGTCGGGAGTAATGTTCAAAAAGAGTCGTGTGACGAAGGGTTTTGTTCAGGTAAATGTTGTGTTGTGTTGATTGGTTAAAATAGCTGTCACCTGCAAACACAACACAAAATGCGTCTGATAGAAATTTATAAAACTGCTATATGAAAAACTAGCGAGCAAAATGTTTACAGTAGTACATTGAAATGAGGAGACTTCTCCTAGTTCCCCATGAATTTATATGGGCAAATACCATATAAGAATGCACGTCCGCTTTGCTTTGAAATAGTACTTAAATTTAGTTTTGTCGACGGTCATGAAGCCATCAACACTAATAAAATGAAAAACTTCATTTCAGGATCGCCTTGTCCTAGTGGTTTCACTAAAATCTCAGAGAACTGGTGTCTGTACATTTCCGGTAAAAATGTACTAAAAACCTACAGCGATGCCAACACGTTCTGCACTTCATTGTCAAAACACGCACGCTTGGTGACGATCAAACATAAAGCAGAACAAGATATAATCGTTAAAAAGTTGCCAGCACATGCTGATTGTTGGATAGGTAGGTGTGATCCTTTGATTCAGTTTACTTATGTGATCCATGCGAATTCCGGCTGGTCTCTTGCTATATGGCACTCAGTTCGATGAGTGTAGTTACCTCACAGGATGAATTGATATGTCAATATAGTTTTAGAGTTATTTCATACCTATTATGTAACTTGTAACTGCATATGACAATGAATTCTAGTGTGACTTTATAAAGGGTTATCCCTATACATTTTCACTATGCATATATGATCAGCTGATTTAGCTGTAATCGCATAATTGGAGGGAAAATGTATCCCACTTAACCAAGTTCTTAATACACTTTCTGAGAAACATATGCAATGCGAGGTATTGAACTTCGATTTTACCTTGTTTTGAAATCACTTTTATAATACACAGCCCGTGTCGGCCGGGTTTTTAACTAGGTTTCTTCGTTACGTTAAAGTGAGTTTTAATATATCTGCATACAGAGAGCAATGAGGATTCCTCGCTGTTAGCTTTATTTTAACGGTAACTACATGTTAGGATTTCCGCTGTGTTAACTAGGTCTAGACGACAGGACAACCGAGGGACAGTTCGTGTTCAGCGACGGCACCAAATTAGGGCAAGGGTCCTTCACCCACTGGGAAGAGGGCAGTCCTTCCAAAAGTACGTTGGCCGACTGTGTGTTCATAGATGGGAAGGGAGCTGGATACATGTGGAGAGATACCAGGTGTGAGGAGAGGAAAATGTTCAGCTGTGAAATTCGAGCAAAAATGATATCAACCTCCTTAATTGGCTGATCCGTTTATTGATTCCTTTGCACCCAACGGATTTTGTTATGTTGTCGTGTTGTGAAAGCGCTCTTGTGTGTAGAATTGAATACAAATCCCAACAGACAAACGACATTGATTCACCGTTGAATCAACGTTAATTTTGGTGGATCAACGCTGAATCAACGTAGAATCAGTGTCGTTTGCCTGCTGGGAATGCTTTATTTAAAAAGCAGAAGGACTGTTTTTAATCCAACTGCAACGCTCACAAGGCGTTTAAACATTGCTATGCCACTCAGTTTCTTATAATTTGCCGCACATGTTGGGCTAAATATTTGGTGACCATTGGTTTACTTGGTGACTTCTTTAGTTGTACTGATTATAAATCTGCCTATCCAATGTATAGGCTTTGCCTGTAGCACAAATATTGTAACATAGTAAATCTATTCACAATTACAAAGTGAAACTTATACACTTTAAATAGTTAAATACTTACTCGCTGAATGCGTTTCTTCCATGTCTTTTTTATCCAAATTCTGTAATAAGGTTTATGCGTACATTGTATGGGCATCTTGTCTTTTTTAAACCCCGCGTTGTTTTAAATGAATCATTGTTACACTGTAGGTGCTTGACTTTCTACTGTAATTAGAATATCTATCGCTTATCATTACCATAATATCATATCCTTTGGCTAGTAAAGTAATAAAACACCTGAATGCATTGTATCTTTGTTTGGCAGAAAATTCATATTTTATTTCAGAATGTATGCTGTAAAGGTTTAATGTGGATTGGATAAAATTAACCCAAGCTTATGTGTCAACCATGCGTGAGCTAAACAATGTTTTATCTATATACATCGCCATTATATTGGGTTACTATATACACATGTATGAAAGCAAAAAAAAGCGAGCTGCTGTATTGTGAGCTTTTATTACTGTCATCTAGTCACCAAACAAGTCTTGGTCTCCGGAAAAGAGGCTATTCCCCTGAATAGCCTCATTCCCTGATGAAGATTTTCTGTCAGACATCGAAATATTGAGGTAAACTATTTCAATATTAAGCCGTTGATTGAAAATGAGTTACTTTATTCTTGCAAATAGTTATACTTGTAAAGTCAAAACGTAAATGCTCAATTGCCTTTTGCCTTGTCTACATTCCTGTTGCTGCATAAACGTGTGATCTATAATGTTTGTCTTTAATTGTGTTATTATTCTATCACACCAACGGATCTTTCGTTAAGGATACGGGACCTTGATGATTCATGTCAATTCACCGTATAGATCTTAATGAAAATATAAGCATATTATTAATGATGCATCTCCGAAGATCTACTTTACAGATGTCAAATATTCACCGTATATTTGACATCTGTAAAGAAGATCTTCCGAGATGCATCAGTAATAATGCTTATAGATACGGGACCTGAAATGGATATGAGGGAAATATGCATTCTTTCAGATATAGTCCTATAAGTTTCCTTTTTTCGGTCCAGTTTCTGTTGATTTGGTAAAATACGATATACGATGTATATAAAATATATGAGAGAGAGAGAGAGAATGAGAGGAAGAAGTTTAAAACAAATGTGCGAGAAGGGTGCTTCCAGTTTTTATCTTTATTGTATGTCATCCAATATGTGATTTACGTCCACTTTCAAAAATGACAGCCATACGAGCAATACGATTGAAACGACAGCTTTGCCATTTTAACCAACAATAGGCGCGAGTGCATCTTTGGGTCTCAGTTCACAAATGAAGGGTTTTCTTTCCCAGCAAGGGGCGTCTTGCCACAGAAAAGTCCCACTTTTCCCACTCAAGTCAACGCAATTGGTAAGGGAGCGAGCAGACGGAAATCCAGCGTCCCAGATGGTAAAACTACCAGTCCCTAGCTTGGTGCCACCGTTGCTCAAAGAACTACTGCCGCTTGTAGTGTCATCGCCTGGTTAGATAACAATAGTTGTTTTATACTGCCAGTTGTACTTAGGTTTGTAATTTTTATATCAAAATATCTTACAATAAACCCATCGATGACCGGATAAAGTGCCGAGACGTTTTTGTAGCGCAGTTTTAAGCAATGCATTATTATCGTAATAGTTATTATTCTTATAGTTGTTGTTATTATTTTTAGTATCTGACCGTCTTGACAAGCTTAAGTTAAGTTGTTGGAGTGATAACACTGTGTAGATTTACCTATCCAGTATTCAGTCGCTGTAGACAAGAACCTGACCATGTTATGGTATTCGTATTTGTTCTTCATTGTCATCAGGCGAGACAGCCGAGACAGCGAGGCACACGCCTTCATGGACAGAAAATAACTGTATGCCTCTGTCTGTGGGTCAGAGATATACAGGCACAAGCTGTCGGTGACCTCAGTGAATCCAGCAGGACAGAGTTTGGCTGTAAACGGCAAAAAAAGAGAAGCATAAAATGAAATAAACAATTAATATTTTAAAAAACGTATTTTTAGTTATCTAACGAGTCAGTAATATATTTCTCTGGCACAAAAGTGTCACCCCAAACGCAGTGCGAAAAGTGATGCAGAAAATCCTGTCGTGAACTAATGTCATTTATTCAACTTCTAAAATGAATTGTGTCACAAAAGAATCACTGATTGTACGACCGATGGATAACCTTACCATATGAAAAAATAAAAGCCAAAACTTAATATTCTGTATAGTATTCCCTGGCTGATAATTATGATACATACAAGTATATATCAGAATGCCAACCCTGTGTGTGTACCAGTCCGTTGACCAGCGTGTCCACATATTCCACACTGCATCACTCTAACATAAAATAATGCATCGAATTTAACGCTGTAAACGTACCTGGACACGGCGGACCTCTGCACGTTTCGACCTGAACTAATTGTCCTGGGCAGTCCTTGCCACCATTGGTTGGAGGTGGACTATTACACGCCCTGTGTCTTGTTCTGTTGCCTTGACCACAGGTTTTACTGCACATTGACCAGTGTGTCCAGACACTCCAGGTCCCGTCAACTGTAATGGGAAACAAAGCCAAATACAGTTCTCTGGTTTATGGGAATTGAAGAGAAACAGAAGTCACGTACGTAATTACCGCCACGCTAAATGAGAATGTAGTAAAGCACACTCTACATGTATATCTGGTATAAACTAATGATATTTTGTAACGTGAATGTCAAACGTGTAAAATACTAGACATTGAAATTTATCAGTTGATTCTAAATCAGATATTTGTTTTCGATGAAGCGCTTGTAAATATTATATTATCATTGAAGGTGTGCAATCATTCTGGTATACAGCAATGTACTTCCAAGGCCACGTTTTGGGGTGCGGGCTTGACTGGAGTTATCATTCAATGTGAACTTTTGTGGCTTATTCGTTTGAGTAAATGACACACTTCTACTTTAACATTATACAGATAAGATACAGCTGTCAAGGCACTCACCAGGGCACTGTCCAGGGAAGCAGAACTCGGTTTGTCGGTCAGGTCCAGAGCAGGGTTTGCCCGTACCCTTTGGGACCGGGTTATTGCACAGTCGGGTTCTATATTTCAATCCCTGTGCTCCACATGTAAGGGAGCACCGACTCCATGATCCCCACGACCCCCAAGCTCCGTTCACTTAAATTGAAACAGATCGTTACGGTCTTATAATATGATTTAAGGGAGCATAAAATACAAATAATCCTTGTACCCTAGTCCCCACTAGGGATAAGTGGTAACAAGAAAAGGACTCAAAGAGCGAAGACATACGCCAAGGCAAAGTCAATTTTCATTAATTAATTATTATTCAAAGCGTAGGTTTAGAGTCAAGCCATGTGTGAGGCAGTCCAATGATGTGTTGTAAAGAGCACGTGTAAAGCAAAAATGGTTGTACTGTTCATCAGCTGCTCATATATAATTAGCCCATACCTATATCATATTCACATAAGAAGTTGGCACTGAGTTCACATGGGCCATCATGCAGGCCACTGCCCCCAAGTACTTTAATTGCCATACAGTCTTCTGGTCCGAACATATTTCCTGGTTCACCAGGGGACCATAAATTCCCATCCACCTTGGTACCCTTGGAATACCAAATCCAGTCGCCGTTCCCCTGGGGTTCTCTTCCATCCACCCAAGTGGCCCATATGTCGCCTGAAAACAGAAACAAACGTACTACATGGTGCATTGGACTACTACAAAATACGAATGCGCTCTCGAAATGTTCATTACGGTTGGGTATTTCATACATTTAAGACCACAAATATACGAGACAGCAGAAAAACAAAATTCAGTCAAAAACCTATACTAGCGAAAAAAATTGCTAACCGACGTTTGTTATCAGATAGTTGTAAAATGCATCTCTCCTTCTGATTGTATCTGGTACACCCAAGTGAGCTCCCTCCCTCTCACATTGGAGGCGAGCCTGGTCCCACGATAGTTTGATGTTCCGCTCATATCGCACACAAACAGAGTCGACCATTACATAGCGGGTAGGGCAATTTGCTCCCGTTATCCCAGGCGCCATAAAGCAGGAACAGATAAACCACAGAAATATAGTTTTGTGACTGTCATCCATTTTGGATAGTATGCAACGTTGAGCTTAAAACAGCCTTCAGTTTCGTTTTCCGTGATATCGGAACCCTTACAAGGTGATGCTACAGGTAAAAAACATGACTGTGGTTACAGCACTAAATGCTATCTTTATACTGGTAAAATAGCTGTGCTAGAATATCTCCGTTCAGGTTCAAAGTCTTTTGATAAGAACAAAGTCCCTGGCTCTTACTTAGACGTACATGTAGGAGTGGTCCTTATTTTCATACGATCAGCTTCCAGTGTGTTAGCTGTAACGTTTTCCGATTATCAGATAGATTCAGCACATTAAGCACAACATGAACGTCTATTACGATATTCTGCTACATGGAATCGGCGCTTTAATGAGAACTGCAATTAAGAAAACGTAAAATGTATTATCAGTTTTGTTGATGATTTTCACTCTTTTAATGTTCGTGGCTTGGTGTCGACCACCGCATTATTATTCTTAATCATGGTAACAAATACCCAAAGTCATATTTATAATGGTTAGCATAATACCTGTGGTTTGTTAATTATTATTTATATTTATTTTTAATCAATGTTTGTGGTTTCAGATTTAATTTACTTTGTAAACAGCGCTGAGATGCATGTGTAGCTCCGCTTTAAGGATACTTCAAGCGTCTGCCAAAAATTCCTTATCTCACCCACAACCCAGTGGACAGACTACAGAATGTTATATAATTTATGAAGCTACCTGTAATTTATCATAAGGCTATGTGCCTGTTATGGTGGATGTCATGACGCCAGGGAATTGTGGGAACTTTGAGGTACATGTATCCCATAATGCACCATTACAATTCCTAAAGGAACACGGTACCCCATTTGCATTTGCCATAAAAAAATGAGAAGAGTTAATTACCTGACATACTAAAAGCTGACGAGAAAATGCCTTTACCCACGGTTATTGAAGGAAGAAAAAGAGTTTTAAACTGGTATTAATTTTGCTTTAAAAACAGAAAAGTACTTTCTTAATGTTTTTCAAAACAGCTTTTCAGCAGTTGGAATAAGCTGTCTAGAATAAAGTTTAGCTTCAATTTTGTTTTTTGTTTTTTTTCATCTGCTGTTGCAAGTGTTTGCTGTCACATATTACTTTCATTATGTATATAGATCATTTGTAAATGTCCATTAGAGAATTTTAGTTTGACGCTTTATTTATGGTTACCAAACTTGCTCACAAACCGGAGAGTTGAAATATTAAGTCAACATGGATGTCACAATGGATGTATATAATAAGAGTTCAAAATGTGCTAGTTGTATGACCGCAGCTACGGATATGGAGTTAAAGAGACTGTTCAGCTTTTAAAGATTTAGTTGAATCATTTAAACTAAAAAAGAGATCCTCTGAATGTTCCACAGTCTTACATTTTTTTAAGTGGGGCTTACAAATATAAGAGGTGTTTTATACTCGATACAGTCCATTTTAGATGTCAGTGAGACATACATAGTACCACATCAAGGTATTTTTTGTTTCGTCCAAAAACTATTATATATACATGTAAGCTGTTTTTATATTATTCTATTGTCAGAGAAATATGTATAAGCACAATGACAAAATAAAAATGCTTTGTTCATTAACTTAGAAATAACATGTTATTGAGTTCTTTGTCCTATTTTTTACTTCAGGAAATATATACGAACAGTGGTACTCTCGTCGATTACATTTAAACACTCGTGACGTCCCTGGTGACGTTGGCGGGGGCGAGGGCTTTGTCTGTCCAGCCTGCAAAAATAGCGCAAAAAAGTCCAAGTTGTTGGCGCATAGCAAAAAAAAAAAAAAAAAAAAAAAAAAAACTATAACTCTTAAAGTTTTTGTTTTAACAGGTACGTGCGGTATGAGCTGCTAGGGTTTCCCAGGGCGCACCAATCTTTATGTCTACATGTATTCACTTGGAGTTACTCGAGTTCGACTAGATGACTTATTGATTTTTCTGCCTCCGTAAGTGAAACTGCAAGCCATTGGCTATATAAAACCGGCCAATTATCTTGTTTTGAATTATATTTTAGTTCTTTCTTGCACGCAGTGCGTTCAGGTTGAACGGATGATTCATTGTTGTTGTTTTCCGTGCAGCACCCATGCTGACGTCATCAAACCTCTGGACAACGTGTTATCAGGTTTACTAATTCCTTCATCTGAAATGTTGCACCATACATGTCCATTACGGTATGAATATGTTTAAAAAATTATTCTGCTGGTAAAAACATGCCACTATTTTACAAATAAGTGCTCGACGAAATCGTTAAGATGAAACTTTATCATTTGTCTTTTTTGTACTTGTAGTGTATTTTTATAAAGCACCTCCCATAATACTGCAAGTGTAACCTTGAAAGGTATAACCGTATTTTCAAGTAAAGAAACAAACAGCAAAAACTAAATAATAATTTCAGACTAAAGAATAATTGCTGATCAATGATTGTTAATTAATCATCATTAAGTTTTGTGGTCCTCTACTTTGTTTCTGAAATGTGACCGCTTGAATTTATCGCTATCCTAACTTTAAAAATGACACGTAAGGTAACTGATATTTTGAAGCTTAATGCTGATAGCTATTCAATCATACAGCCCCTTGAGAAAATTACATTGTGGCTCAACATCATTGATCAACAGTCCGACGATACGTTCTAGTTAGTAATTTGCGACTTACATGTACATAGGATGTATGAGGATCAATAATGATGATTCTATGACACTAAGTTAAAACGATGTACATTGTATTTATAGAAGTGCATGTATACTCGATGACAGATCTTTGTTCGGTTTGCCTAATGTAAAAACCGTGTCTCGTTCGCATGTTAAACAGTGACCGAAGGTTTTCAAGAGAAGGTAACTAAAATGGAGAAGAATCACGTCATACAGACTGTCATGGTCAGACCAATGATGAAAGATTATAACGGACCGATTATCCACAAGAGCGAGGTGAAGTTGCCGTTTGTCATGTCTCTCTCTCTCTCTCTCTCTCAGACTGCCTAACCACTTTTAAAAGTCACTAATCTAACCCATTATAATGATGATGATGATGATAGTATAATAATGACCTTGCAATTGTATTCTGTTTGTGAAGACAAGTTAAAAAAATACATATAGTAAGTAGCAAATTTTTCAGTTTTCGGGACTGTTGACGGAGGGCGCGTAATAAGCTACCCCAGTCTTTTCTATAGCACCACTTAGATAGTTTTAAAAACTGGGCTTAACTGAATTCAGTTTGTTTGTTTGGTAAGACGGACATCTAGATATTTGAGTTAAGGAGTGGAAAGTATTCCATTTTCTTTCTAATATTATCAAGGTTTTTGATCATATTTATTTCCCTTAAAGTTGGCGTGATTGTGACTTATATGATACATAGGCTTATATTTTCAAAGTTGACTTTAAATAATATCAAGATTGGTTTTATGATATATTTAAACTATTAGTGGAATTTCTTGTACATATCCATTAGAATTTAAAGTCATAGGGCGCATTCCCATAGATTTTAGATCGATCTATCCCCGTGGGGAGTCTCACTAGATTACCGTCAGATAATCCGTCTTAAATGTCCGTCCCGCCTACTACAAGCTGTAAAGGGGTAATTAACTTTCGTGCCCGTTCTACTGACAGCTACTTAGCGTGAACCCCCAGGGAGTTAGGTTGATCTAGTTGGATCGATCTAATCTCTGGGAATGGGGTCATAGAACACGGCGTGAAAAATTGCATTGACGTACATGGCTATTACACAACTACCCGACGATGCTACAAATGAAGATACTCCCCTACAAAAGAAGTGTTACTCCTTTATTCACATTACTACAATAATATTAGATTTAATTTTGCTATTACATAACAATCCGTTTGCCTCTCATCGTATAAATTGGGGACGTGAACAGTGAAAAATGAGTCACCTAGCGGGACCACTGAAATACCCCAACACTAGTTAAATTTTAATATGCGGCTTCTAATTGACATAGGACGGAGTTTTGACCCACCGAATTGCCACAAGGTTGATTTGTTCCAAGAGAACCATGCAGAGGGTTTATCACCATTATAAACACACAAGCACATGGGCAAGATTGCCTGGGTAAGGCCGACCGAAGGAACCACTCCCAGAGAAGAGAAGGTGTTGACACGCCTTCCTCGTTAAAAGAAAGTCTCATGACATTTATCATGTGTTAGGAACTTGGCTTCAACATTTAACCACAGCAGGGCAAAACATTTTTCTGAGTTTACCGTCAGAAGAACTTTGTATCACTGTTGTTATTTTGACATAGTTACTGTTAGGAGACCGCTGATCACCGCCAGTCAAAACCGACGGATGTTTATTACAAGTTCACGGGAGTAATAATTCTAGTTTTTTATTGTTATTTCTGACGACGAGGCGGTTACAGAATATAGTCAAAATCAAACGGATGTTTATTTCAAGTCCACAGGAGTAATAATTCTACGTTTTGGTGACATTTTTACTACGAGGCGGTTTCGGAATATACATGTGCTGGTTTTCAGAGCATTCATGTGCTACATGTAATTACAAATTCAAAGGGGGAATATATTTGATTTTTACCGATATATCTGATAAAGAGGAAGAATGAACAGCTTAAAAACAAAAGGTAAATAACACAACCCTCGTTAAAAAGTTAAAGATTTACAAATAATTTGTATGCACGTACGTGTGGCTTAAATGTAAACTTATTCCCGTTTTCAAATCATACCCATATGATTTGACTTAGTGTAATAAAATGATAGATAACAATTGTAAAATGTGAAAAGTTTAACCTAATTTTTTAAAAAGTGTGAGATATTTTAAATGTTTCTACTGGTAGGTATATAACGCAAGCAACGTCACTATTCTCTTGATGCCAAGAAGGTCACATGATCACACTGTATTTTGGCTTTCAGTATTTAAGAGACCTCGACTGATTTAACCAAGATGTAGTCGTGAAATTCTAGACTACATCGAGGTTAAATCCGAGTTTTCCGAGAGACGCTACGCAGAAATGTCCAGTGAAGCGAGACATTTTTGGGTAGCGGCTCGAGGTTGCCCTCGATCTTCACTGAAGCTTGGCTAAATGGACAGGCTTCAGTGATCATCATATCGCCACGGTCATAAAACATCCCTAGGTATATATATCATAAACACATGGAAGTCATTTTTACGTGAAGGACCAAGTAAAACATGCAAGTTAGATGTACTTGTACTCTCATTCAAAATGAGATAGGAGTTGGTCGTCTGGAAAAAAGGGATTAACACGTAGAAAATATTCTTCCTTTATAATAATGTGGAGGAAACATAACGTAGTGAGACTGAAAAATATCCTGACCAGTAGTTCATTACTTTGAGTTTGATATGATAATTTGAATGATATGTGGCTTGCATGTGACAGATAATAGCTGAGAGAATTCCAATCTAGATGTATACACATGCATTTGAATTGCGTGAGTAAATACATTGTGTTTGTCTGTGTGTTGGGGGGGGGGGGGGTTAGCAATATAATTTCCTCTTTTTTTTTTGAGAGAGAGAGATAAAGTGTCCAAATGCAAATATGGGAAAGGGGGAGCAGATGACTTAGCATCATACATATTATAATGCATAAAACATTCCAATAACACTGAGGGACAGTAATGCTGAACATGGGCAGGGAGGGAGTTAAAATCAATCATCTAATGGGTCTTTAAATGGAAATAACGCTTTAAACAGGCGTTTTCCATTTATTTGTTTGTTCACTTATTTATTTTCAACGCAATAACGTGATATTTTTGTTGCAAATGATAGCCGTAAATACAAAACCATGTTAGCGTCACATACAAGGTGAAATAAAAGGTTTTCTGTGTTCCTCTTTGATTATGGAGGATGTTATTTATGTAACGTTGCATCGTGTTATTAGGCTTGGAACTACTTTGGAATAAATACACAGACAACCAGGCCCTTTTTGCTGTGCTGCAATAACAAAATAGGTGAAGCAAATCGTAGTTTCACGATTTATGGGATAATTGGGACGCTTTGTCAAAACCTTCTCATTCTCTCAATAAGTACCCTCGTGTGCGCGTGCGCCAGCGCGAGTGTCGTGACCGTTCAACATAATTTATTCATTCTCTGAATATGTATCTGTTTTAATCTTTTCCAGAAAATATTAATGGACGAAAGCCTTGAGAAGGAATTCGCCACCAGTACCACTGCACACGGCTTTGCCAGGGCAGCGGCATCTAAGAGCATCTCTAGAAGAATCGCCTGGGTAGTCTTCATTTTGGCGGGATTGGGGATGGCCACGTGGATGATCAGCCTGCGCTTTATCAACTACTTTAACTACTCCACATCCACGGAGATCAAAATCACCTTTGAACCTACGCTGGCGTTCCCGGCGGTTACCATATGTAACTTTAACAGGTCTGTGTTCATATAATACAGAACCCCCACAAAGTTTTACATCAAAATATGTTTAACTATGATTTTTTAAGGCAGATGCAATGTTGTAGTTACAAATCATGCATTTTTACCATTATGTAAAAGTCATTGGCAACTGAAATAATGTTAAAACATGAGTCATCTGTTGATTGAGTAAGGGATCTTTTTTATCCAGGTGGTTGTACTTCACATTTTGGAGATAATAATAATAATAATAATAATAATAATAATAATAATAATAATAATAATCCGTTTCTTAACCTGCGGTCCAACGCTTTACCGTATATTAAAACTAAAACAGATAAATTAAAAACTAATATAAAAGCCCTTAAAAGTAACGAATACTTAAAATAAATGATACCAAAACTAAAATATTCTTTAAAAAAGGGTTTTAAATCCTTTTGTAAACAGTGATAAGAGTCATTAATGGCCAATTTTAATTTGTTAATAAAATTGGACCATGAAATTGATGTGACCATATGTCTTTTTGTGTCATTTCGCTTTAGATGAAATTGACCACTGGATGGAAAAGTTCTATTTGGAATAATTTTTTTATATTGTTTAGGTAAAATGACCCAGTAAACACAAATAGATGTCCATATTTGTGATGGTATGACTTTACTTGCAATTATATTTCAATATAAAGGTACATGAAGAAATTCCTCACAATAAACGACTATTACGTCATACAAGCGGCAAGTGCGTCATCAGATTACTACGAAAACTATGAAAACAATTACTATGGTTATGGCAGCTACGATTATGGATCGTCGAGTTATTCAGGACCTTCTGGCTCTACCGGATCGTTGGGCTATTCTAGCAATTCGGACTCAACTGGATCGTCGGGCTATTCTAACAATTTGGGCTCTAGCGGATCTTCGGGCTATCCTGGGCCTTCGGGATACGCCGGTTCCACGGACTCTGCCGGATCTACGGGCGCTTCTGGGTCATACCGTTCTACTGGCAGCTACGGCTCCTCTGCTCAGTCCGGAAATGCTGCTTCCTCTAGATCAGCTGCTTCCAACGCTGTTGCTGATTTAGTGGATGGAATGTGGGCGAATATATCAGAACTGTATCCAAACGGATTCGATTTTGGGAACTTCAGCATGGAAAAGGGCTGGCAGTTGACCAATGAAACTGTATTGAAATGTGAGTTTAAGGGAAGGTCGTGTGACCTTGACAAGGATTTCCAACATGTCTTCTCTTCCTATGGGAACTGTTACACTTTCAACGGTGAACTCCATGCGAGAAGATCGAGATATCAGGACCAACCGGGGCTTGGTAACGGCCTGCACTTGGTTCTTAATGTAGAACAGGTAGGAGACTATGTTTGGTTTATACTATTTATTCATCGATCACTTAGTCAGCACTAGTTGCGTCTTACACGTTCGACCAGATTCGTTAAATGACAACATATCATAGAGAACGTTTCTTGACCAAGTATTATATGCGCGCTGCTTGAAGTTTAAAGATGCGTTCGTAGTAATTCATCGGCTCTGATTCAACAATTCTAAACTAAGAATTATTATGTTTTTACATGTTTTTAAGTGCTACAAATGAATGATTCATATGATTTTACTAATGAACATTGCAGCATTAAACATTACTTTATCTACATCAAGATTTCTAATGCTCTTATAACGTGATTTTAAAGCGTTTAAAAGTTGTATATCATAAATTTGGTTCGCTTTATTAATATTTTGTTTCCAAAATTAATACCGCAAATGAAAGGGCAAATGGCTGCCTTTTATTAGTATTAATATTTAAATATTAAAATATCAGCTATTTTAGTAACGTTTGTATAACTTCTTTTCAATGCTATATTTTGTCTTTTTTGTATTTAATAAAAAGAACGAGTATTTGGACGATGTTCCCGACGAAACGGAACAAATCGGGATTGTATTCCAAGTCCATTCCCAGTATGAGCCGCCACTGATGGAGACTAAAGGGTTGGGGGTTTCTCCAGGATTTCACGCTTTTGCCGGGTTGAAAAGATTGCAGGTAAGGTTATGCTTTATCAAAATTGTAGTATGAAAAAATATTGATATTCTAACATTAAATAATATGCCTAAACAGCACAAATAAAGGAGCGGAGGCGATGAGTAAATATAATGGTAACAGTTATAATAATGGTAATGCTAATATTAGCGACAATTATTAACCTCATACATGTAGAGCCCGCTTAGCTCTGACCTAGAAAACTCCCCTGTGCCCAGTTAATCTGTACAGGTACCTATGAAAAGTGAGGTTCCCTTAGTTTTTTTGCTGTAACTTATTTGTTAGCGAATATTCCCCACACAAACCATACATCTTTAGAAAGCTAATATTATATGCTAAATGACGGTGGTTTTCGTAAAGTGTAATACTTTTAATTGTAAGAATTATTGACCTTAGAAAATTGGACATATATTTGGGACCGACAGAAGAAAATAAAAAAATGCATTTCACGATGCAAAAAACTTTTTCTTTTTTCATATCTTTACAAGAAAATTCACCCTAATAATCTTAAATAAGTTATCTTTGAACACAGAAAGTTTCAGTACAATATCTTTTTAAGATTTTGAGTAATTACGACTTTATCACGTGCCTGTGCCTGGAGCAAATTTCCCATTTCACCTGGATGCTGTCTGCTAGACAACAACATAACTTTCAACATTCACATTATCTTTTTTGCTTTTAATTGCAAGCTGTATTAGTCAATAGATTGGGGGTAAAAAAACAGTGGCACATGATATGCAGTGCGTGAAAACTTGTAATTTCTATCAAACACGGCGTTATGGTTATTTAGATTTAATAGTTAGCTACTTACACATACTTGTACATAGTGTATTTTTCTATTATTCGTGGGCCTCAATTAGCTGTAATTGTCTTTTATCCTGTTTGAAATGATAAAATATACGAAAAGTGGTAAATTAACGGTATGAATAAACAAGATTTCATACCTTTAACATTTTAATGTGTATAGATTATTCAAAGAATTGAATGCAGCTATTAAAATACTATTTTAGAAATAACTTTAAGGAATTTGACGAGAAATTATGGAAAATAGTTTTTAAATGATGGTCATTTTAATCCTTACAGACCGTCAATATAGAGCCGCCGTGGGGGAAGTGCAACAAATCTCTGCGTCTGAACCATTACCCCCAGTACACGTTCTCTGGGTGTATCATTGAATGTAAACTTCAGAAGACTGTGGAAAAGTGCGGCTGTAAACCTTTAGAATACCCAGGTAGGCCTCTACTCGCTCTTTAAAAAAACATTAAGGTTTATGCTTAGATAAGACTGGTTATGTCGTTTAGCCAGTTCCCACAAGTTCGTGACTGTCGTCTTGGTCATGGAATGGTCGTAGCCAGTTACAGGTGCATTACTTCTTGCTCTTTCATACGGTAACACGTACATCTTCTTCGTGTGAATACTTAAGATTTGAAAACACGGTTTTGATCATTTTTTTGGACGGCCATCATAACGATAAAATTTCAATAAACGGAAAGTTCGAAGCACCAGTTAAACATAAAAATTTATACATTTACATGTTGTCCCATCTGGTTCGCAACTCGATATGGTTATTGCTGTTGGTTATTTCAGGTCCCTATCCTGTGTGCAGCCCGCGGGAAATTCAAGAATGTGTACAAGAAGAAATGCGTGAGTTTATTAAAAATAGCGAAACGATCTTCGTAACAGTTTGCCTAATGATAATAAAAAAGATTTAACTTGAATTGTTTTATTGATCACTGGAATTTCATAATAATTATATTAGAGTAATCAAGAATGTGAGTAAAGGCCGAGTAGTTTTCCTGAAATGGAATAAGCTATATTATGGTGTTATTTTAGATGGAGGTCATGCGAATTCTAACAACGTCTTTAGGATTAGTTGTCTTTGAAAATCATAATGCAGAGTAGCATGGCTGAAATAACAGAATCGCTCCGAGAAACAAAAAAATTACGCTTTTCTGTATCAATAATTATCTCTAGATCAGCTGCCACATACACGTTACTACAGTGTATTACTGCTCCTTTACAGCTTCTCCGCTCTCGTATTCTTTTTTGCTTCCTCTCTTTCCTAGAGAGTTACCCGCAAGTCCACATCGGGTTGATACCTTAATGCAAATATATACAGTATACGGTATTTTGCAGGTATCATTAACCAGGACTTTTCGAAGCATTGTTCCGGGTGCACCGTGCCTTGTAACAGTACCAACTACAATATACAGCTGTCATACGTGGCCCTACGGAATGCTACACTGCACCATAAGTATGGGCAGCATATTATTCCATCAGGGTATAGCGGAGACTACATACAGTATGTATCCAGTTTATTCATTTTTTTCTGTCTTTTTATTCACTTTTTTATATACATATATATTTGTTTTATATCTTTTATATATATAAGTACGTACGTATATTTGTGATTGCTTGCGTGTGTATGTGCGTTTGCGTGTTTGAATGCATTTGCTGCAAAGAAAACGGATACATTTAAGGAATTATAAATATCCTACAAACAGTCAGATTTACTGCATATTTTAATCAATAGTTTTTCGGATATTTTTATCACAATGACTTATGCGCCAAAATTTATGTTTCTAAAAGTGTGTGCAGAAATATGAATAGCGCAGTTACACATTTGAAATATTTATTTATGACTAACAAGTAAAAACATGACTTGCTGCATGAACATGAGAACAAGATGGGTCATCAAGCGAGGCTTCAGAACCATCTGTCAAGCGCTTTCAAACATACTCGACGTTGCCTGTTTGATATTATAGAAATCCCTTACGCTAATCAACTCTAGCTCCGGATATTTCTACTAATAATCTGCTTACCTTAGCAGTAACGAAATCCCTTTCCTATAGATAACCACTAGAAATCAGGATTCCAACCTCTATCTCTATCTTGCTTCACAGTAATGGCGTCGCCCTTTGTTCTCAGTGCTCCTCGCTGTAACCCACTCCTTACAGCTATCGAGTTTCTCCCAAACTGACACTCAGCCTCGACTCGGATCGAGGCCAAGACAAGCCACACACCGATGCCGGATCACTACACTCCTCCCCACTTTATCTGGATTGGAGGTAGTCATTACAATCCAACACCAACAACACATTCTTACGATCCTTGTATCACTACTCGATCAGCCCATGCTGACCCAGCCAAGGACCGCCCACTCCATTCTCTCTACCAGATCCCTTGTCGCTTCTCGATCAGCCCAAGCTGACCAGCCAAGGAATCAATACACGGTACTCATCACTAGGAATACTCCTTCCCAGCATCTACTCCTGACCAGGTCGTACCTCTCCTGGCCAGCATTGTGGTGCACTGAAAATTGGGCCCCCACTAGTTCAAAAACAACCAGCGCCCATTCTCTTTTCAACACCACAAATCTTGACCTTAACCCTTCCCAGGGTCATGGCCCGGACGCACCAATCGACGTGTGCAATCCTCACACTTGTACTTCTTTATCGAGAGGGCGTCAGACGCAGTAATGTTTACACAGGACCCATGATACCATTCACTACAATAATCACACTGTATCATAAATCGGCCCTGCCATTTCTGCCTACAGCTACAATACACCCTGTCATCCCCTTTGACTGTAGAGTCAACCACGGGATTTTTTCTCCATTTCTGGATCCACAGAGGTATCTCACTGTCTCGACAAGGTTTTAACCTGTCATGATTGGCCACGAACACCGCATTTCTTACCTTCACCCGGTATAAATACGAGCTCAGCCTCTCCACGATGACTCCCGGACCCTTCCACGGGGGACATCCAGTATGTAAACCGCATCCAGTATGTAAACTGAATCCCCGACCGCATAGGTTCGCTCCAAAATCCTCAGGTCGTAATCTCGCTTCATACGCTTAGAAGATACTTTGAGCTTACCTCGGGCAGTCTCGTGCGCCTTCTGTAGGTCGGCTTCTAACTCAGCCACATACCCCTCGGTACTACTCGGCTCTCTTCCCTTCTGTGGGAACATTATTCCAGCAGGAGTGTTGACTTCCCTGCCCAACATCAGCTTGTTAGCCGTAAAACCTGTCATCCTGTTTACCGATGACCTGAGAGCCCCGGCAATTTGCTGTAGATGAAGATCCCACTGGTTTTGAGATCTCTCTGTAAAGCAACGCACTGCGTCCATCAATGTCCGATTTTTTACGAATTAACACCGGCGCTGACGCCCAATCCGATGTGGATTCTTGTATTACCCCTGCTTGAATCATTTTCTGCAGATGAGCCTCCTCCTCATTAGCAAAACACACTGGTGTACGCCGCATCCTCTGCTTGATCGGCCTCGCTTGCCCCGTGTCAATAGTATGTTCTAAGGCAGTAAAATTACCTAAGTCAAACTCACTTTGGGCAAACACATCTTGAAACTCGGTCAGTACTTGACCCAGTTGAGCTTGCTGATCCTCGCTCAACTCTGTACTCGATTCCTCGAACACCTTCTGTAAATGTGGAGGAACCCCTGGCCTTTCTTCACCCTCGCCTTCGGCTGGTCTCACCTTAGGCCTCCGCGGTGCAGGAATAGAGTAATTTACTCTCACCACATCCTCTTCAGTTTGACTCGATGTCGTACT